TAACCACCCTAACCCCGCCCCAGGTTAACAGTTAACCCCCCTAACCCCGCCATAGGTTAACAGTTAACCCCCTTACCCCGCCCCAGGTTAACAATTAACCCCCCCTAACCCCATCCCAGGTTAGCCACTTGGCCAAGAGTGCTGTGCTCGTGGTGATCGCCAGCGCGCAGATCTTCCTCAACTTCTTCCTCATCCGCCCCGTGTACACGCCTGATGTACATGACCCTGATGGTCCTCCCCACCCTCCCCTGGCGCTGCCTCAGGGAAGGAGGAGGGACCCGAGGCTCGTTGCCTTCTATGGACCACCTACAGAAGAAGAACGTCTTCGTATGGAGCTCGTCGATCTCTCCTTGGAGCTGCTCTTCCTAACCTTCCTACTCGCCTTCATCGCGCGGCAGATGGAGAAGACCTCGCGAGTGCTCTACTTGTGGCGCAGGGAAGTTGAGGAGCAGAAGGAGAAGGCAGCAGATATTCGGCATCGAAATGAACAACTCGTGTACAATATTCTGCCTCCCCACGTGGCCACGCACTTCATGGGGCTCAGGAGGAAGAAACACGAGGAGCTTTACTCGCAGAGCTACGAGGAGGTCGGCGTACTCTTCGCGTCCATGCCCAACTATGGAGGTGGGTCTTCCGTTTTTGTTAATAAGCTATTCTTACTTGGTGTAGTTTTAATTTTTGATACAATATTTTGGCATCTTTAAATAAATCCAACTCCAAGTCATTTTATTGTGGAAGTAAATGAAATCTGGGCATCATTAACCGTAGACTTGATAAATTGGTTCTGAAGTAATTAGAACTTTGGGACGTAGTCCGTAGACTTCATAGACGATATATTCAGTTGACAGACGCTGCAGTTGGCTTTTCGTACGAGCTTGGTGCCTAACCAGAGTAACCCATTAAATCAAATAAAAGTAAATTTAATTTACATATTAGTATAGGATATCAATTTATACTGAAAAATAGATTCATGCCTACACTTCATTATTATGTTATTGATGCTGTTCATATTTTTTAACTGTTGTATTTTCTGGTCAGACTTTTACTCGGAGGAGTCAGTGAACAACCAGGGGCTGGAGTGCCTCAGGTTCCTCAACGAAGTCATCTCTGACTTTGACGGTGTAGGTACCAATATATTATACACGCTATTATATTATACGCCCTATTATATTATTCTATTACTTTATTTGTTAGAAAATTACATTAAAAAACTATATTATAAACTCAATAATATTAATGTGTAGTACTGTATTCGTTATACAATTACGTTAAACAACTACGTTATACCTATAATTATATTATAGTGTAATTAAATTATCAAATTCTACTCGTGATAATTTCTAGTCCAATTATTGCTCATGCAATCCTTAATTTATTAACTATGGGTCTGTTAACTCTGTCTGTTAATTGTGTCGAGTCCTGGCATTGAAGTATTTTTTTAGTACACACCTAACAACAAATCTTGTGTATAATTTACTTGGTGTGCGGTTAAAAAACTCGTAGGTAAAAGAGATAACGAGAACTGAAGAGAACTTGAGTTTCTTCTTAACGTCAACTTTTTCTGGAACTCAAGTGTTAACTCAAGTCTCTATTATCGTCAACTTTTCTACGAAACGATCAAAAACTAGGCCTTTCTTCTCGTAATTCCATCGCCTATCCTTGGGCTAGTAGGAAACTTCTAAGAAAACAACATACTTGGAATGAAACTTTCCTGGACATTACACACGTAGAAGGAAATTTTCCTGGACACTACACACGTAGAAGGAAATTTTCCTGGACACTACACACGTAGAAGGAAATTTTCCTGGACACTAATTATACAATTACGTTAAACAACTACGTTATACCTATAATTATATTATAATGTAATTAAATTATCAAGTTCTACTCGTAACTCTGGGTCTGTAAATTATGTAGAGTTCTGGCATTGATGTGTTTTTTATACAAACCTAATAACAAATCTTATGTATAATATACTTGGTCTGCGGTTAAAAAAACTCGTAAGTAAAAGAGATAACGAGAACTGAAAAGAACTTGAGTTTCTTCCTAACGTCAACTTTTTCTGGAACTCAAGTGCTAACTCTTGTCTCTTTTATCGTCAAGTGTTAACTCAAGTCTCTATTATCGTCAATTTTTTCTACGAAACGAACAAAAACTAGGCCTTTCTTCTCGTAATTCAATCGCCCATCCATGGGTTAGATGGAAACTTCTAAGAAAACTACACACTTAGAATGAAACTTTCCTGGCCATTACACATGCAGAAGGAAATTTTCATGAACACTACATAAGTAGAAGGAGAAGAAAATTTTCGTGAACACTACATAAGTAAAAGGAAGTTGCCAGGGTAACTACATAAGTAAAAGGAAGTTGCCATGGTAACTACTGTCTCTTATACACATCTAGATGTGTATAAGAGANTGTGACACGCCACGTTTTGCCGCTGACACGCCACATGCCCACAGCTGCTCGAGAACGCGCCCTTCAAAGACATCATCAAAATCAAGACGATCGGGTCGACCTACATGGCGGCCAGCGGCCTTCACAACACCAGCGTTCCCTCCAAGGTAACCGCCTTCAAATTATTAGTAATATAAATAATTATATTTGTAATATAAAGATAATGTTGATAAATGCATTAATACCATACTTGACTGTAGCTTGACCTTCTTCTATTTGTTCCTTCAAAAATATAACGTTGTATTTCACAGAATATTTCTTTATTCGGTTATATGATCGCTAATTTGAAAATGGATCGTGAGCAAAACGGATTTGAATGGCCTGTGTTTGGACCAGTTTTCATTTGAACGAATTTTATTTTTAGAAAAATGTGAAGTTTTTAAGCAGGCGACTTGAGTTTAGGCCATGCGGCAAACATTAGCACTGTATTCATGATTTTACTAAAATGAAATTAATAATTTCTCGTGTTATACACGGCCTATTATTTATTTCATAGATATTTTAAGTTGATGTTAACATAACTATCATACCTGCTATGGTTAAATAGACGAATCTTCAATTAGTATCCATGAAAGTAAATACGCTGTTCTGAAAAACTCTTCAAAATTATTTTATCATCATTTTTGCATCATGTTATCCCGTGATATTAAAACAAGTCTCCGTTATTTTACAACTTGACATATGAAACCTGAGTCATACCTGCTAAAAAAAAGTTGACACTGAAACGCTTGACAGTTAAACGGTTGACAGTTAAGCGGTTGGCAGTGAAACGGTTGACAGTGAAACGCTTGGCAGTGAAACGGTTGACAGTGAAACGGCTGACAGTGAAGCGGTTGACAGTGAAACGGTTGACAGTGAAGCGGTTGACAGTGAAACGGTTGACAGTGAAGCGGTTGACAGTGAAACGGTTGACAGTGAAGCGGTTGACAGTGAAGCGGTTGACAGTGAAGCGGTTGACAGTGAAGCGGTTGACAGTGAAGCGGTTGAC